GTACAAATTTTTTATTTTATTTATTTATTTTTTTGAGTTTTGTATCGATGGTAGTAAATGAGAATGTTTTCTTCTGATGATAGAAGACTTTCATGAAGTACGTATATTTAAAAGGAAAGGTACTTCAAATTTATATATTTAAAAGGTACTTCTGTTCATGCGACACATGAGAAATATCCCATGCAGCTAGCCTGTCCACCAGCGTTCAAACTATCAATGCTCCTTAGTCTTATCCACTTGATTTCTGATGAATACTAATTATGGAATGATGGTAATAATTCTTTTCAGTGTGAAAATTTTATGACCATTTTATAGAAGGTTTCTCACTTTAGTCTGCTCCAGAATCTTCGAATGAAGTTATCATTAAATGATGTATCATCATTTTTTTCTTCATATCGAAACTGATTTGGGAACTGCATTTTTTTTTTTTTTCATTTGGGATAATTGTTCCTAGTAGCAGAATAACTGTACAAAAAGGACTCTGTTTATAATTGTTATTCTCCAAGCAGATTTAATAAATTAACATCATTCAGTTTATTATACCATTGTTGTATAAGAGTCAAATATGGCTTTAAGACAAATGAGTGGTATCTGAGTAAAAGTGCACATTTAATTACACAAATTAACATTCATTTATTATTTTACAATGGTTTACACTAATGTTATGTTTTCGAAATATCTAACATGTTCAACAACAAGTCTATTTTACTTGGTTTAAGGTTAGCTCCTACGGGCCAATGCTATATTTAATGTGTTAAGATGCACGAAGAAACACGTCTAGGCACAGAGTCAATAAGAGTGTGGATGGTGTCCTGAGGGATGGCTCTCCATTCCCTTTCAACCATTTGCCACAGTTCGTCTTATGAACGAGGCAGGGGTAGAGTCTGCAAATGGCGTCCAATCACATCCCACACATTTCGATTGGTGACAGGTCGGGAGAGTACAGTGGCCAAGGAAGCACCTGTATACCTTGCAGAGCATGTTGGCAGATGCGAGCACTATGTGGTCGGGCGTTATCCTGCTGAAAAATTGCATTAGGCAGCCCCTGAAGGTAGGGGATTGCCACCGGCTGTAGTACATTATCCAAGTATCGTTAGGCCGTCATAGTGCTCTGAATACGAACTAGAGGTGACCTGGAATCGCCCTAAAATAGCGCCCTAAATCATTATGCCACTTTTCGCGCGGTGGGGCGTTCCCCAGTTACTGCCGGATTAGATCTGTTTCCACGTCGACACCACATACGTATGCGCCGACTGTCACTGGATAGACAGAAGCGTGACTCATCTGAGAACACGACATTTCGCCATTCTGTCATCCACATCACTCTAGTCCGGCATCATTCTAAACGTTGGCTTCTATGCTGTGGGGTCAATGGCAGTCTTCTTTATGGACGCCGTGAGTGCAGGCCACGTTCAACCAATCGACGGGAAATGGTTCTGGTCAACACGGGAACATCCAGGGTATCTTGCACATGCTTCAGAATCGCGGTACAAGTAACTTGCGGGACCGCCACAGCTTGTCAGCAGATGCGTCAATCCATGCATGCTGACGTCGCTCTGGCTGCATCTGCAACCCTCCTTCTTCCCACATTTCCTTGTTCCAACCATGTTCGCCATAGCCGATGCACCGTGCTCGCATGTATGTGGGTATCAGCTGCGATTTCACGTAGACCAACCCGCCCTTCTCAGTTCGATTACCATACCCTCGTAAAAGCGTCTATCTGCTGGAAGTGCCTTCATTGGCGACGGCCTGGCATTCTCTCCCATTACACGTATCCTCCGGAACAAAAACCAACTTTCTTCGATAATTCGTCTGGTAGAAATAATGACACGAATATTGCCCATTCTGCACGTTCCTTCCCTTATATCTTACTTCACATGCATCGGAGAGCTGTGTATTTCACATCATTCGCATAACTCAGTGATGTGCGTCTACTCTAAAATTTGCATAACTTTCTGACCTTTCCTCCTTGGAATTGCATTTTCAATGTCGAGCAGCGTAAATTTTGTGATATGCACAATTTTGTGCAGAAAGTTGCCACTCACTATTTTCTTCCCTCACCTCAGTTGATCATTAGAAAGGTTTTAAGAACCAAGCAGAGATTTTTCAAAAAGTTTTTACATTCTGATAAAAGTTTCCCCATTTAACATTGTCTTTAAATCTAAAATTTATTGTGAGTCAGAAAAGATCTTATCGTGGAAATACTTTTCATCGAGCTTAAAGCCTGTTTAGCTTCACCTCTGTTAATACCAATAGTCTCCATAATAACTATACCTTCCTTTACACTATTAGGAATTTCATTATGCAGTTTTCATGTTAAAACCATCTCGATGAAAATCCCAAAATAATTTATTTATATTTCATGTTTTAATGTAAAATTTAATGTTTGTTAAAGTATGGTTATAACATGCAAGGCGTGATTTTCCTGGAATAAATAATAAGCAAACAAAAAGAACATGGGTTTTGCAATTGCAAGACGAATTGAACAAAGGACTCGTGCAAACTTTGTACATTTCATCACTGGAGATAGTCATAATGGACTTTTTGTACCTCATTTAATGTTGCAAAAACATAATATTACTAATACTAAGAATAGGCTAAATAGATTTTACTTGTATATACATATATCAATAGAGCCTAAGGCAGGGGCATATGGAGCAGTTGCCCTGGGCACCCACATCAGAGGGGTCTCCAAATCGAATAGAAAGTTTATTTTACGTTTCCTTCTTTAATCAACTTTTTTTAAACAAAATATCTGTATTGTAAAATCCGTCAGTTTTTTTTATCTCCTTCATTAGTCTATAATATGAACATAAAAAATATTTTTTATAAATCCATTACTTTCTTGAGTGGAATTCAGTTAAAATTTCGCAATTACGATGGACAAATTTGGCCAATCAAAATCCTGTATTTTTGCGTATTGCAAAATGCGTTATATTTACAAAAATAGGGGGTTCGAATGTAACCGTGAAAATTTAGCAGAATTCCGCTCTAATGTCAGCAAGGATATGAATTTTTCGCAACTAGATGACAAAGTTAGCAATCAGAAAACTTCATTACTGAAGTAGTGAAGCAGAGGGCCCCCCCCCAAAGAAGATTTCACCCTAGGCCCCAATTAGGCTAAGTCGGGCCCTGTATATCAAAGCTATATTTGAAAACATCTTTAGAAATTTCAAGACACTTTCAACACGGAGTAATTGCCAAGCAGGTTAATTTCCATTGTAGAACTGTAATGAAAAAGCTGATTTCCTCACACAGAAAGAACAACTTACTAAGTGCATTAGATTTCACTTTCTAAAGGCCCTTGACAAATTTAATTTGTAGATTTTTCATACAGAGTCATTGCAAGCATGAATAACTAGGTATGCTGTTTGAACAAATTTGCCTGTGATTCCAAATTCTCAAAAACATAGTTGTCACAAACTTCAAAATTTTGATAGGTCATGAATTTAAAGGTTAAAATAAATCAAAAAAGCTTAAGACAGTTTGAATGATTCTTATTAATTTCGAGGGTTATCTGATATATGTTCTTCAAAAAGTCAGGAATAAAAACCTTTTTTCAGTTTTTTTTTAACTGAAGAAGAGGGACCTATGTCAGTTAATTCTTAAAACTGAAACAAGATTTTATGTTAAGCCGCTTTTTTGACCTTTACTTTTACATGTTTTTGTCAGTGGCATACTTTTATTTGCTCTTGAATGTCAGAAACATTAATTTTTCTAAACCATGGGTTGTATCAAAATAAAATACTGTGGAAGTAGATTTAAGCAAAATAAATATGTTTCACAGAAGATTCATAAGTATGTATTACAGAAATATAAATTCTAATCGTATTGGAAGTCTTATAACTTTAAAATATATTCTTATAAATGTTTGATATGTGCATATTTGGTTATATGGTATCTATCCCCATACTGCTTGATAGAGAACTTTAGCTGATGTGTTTGTGTAATATCTACAAGACACATAACAATTTCAGTGGCATGGTCGGTCTCCACAGCCACAGTAATCTTGTTTGCAGATCAGGTATAATATTGGATACAGATATTTTGTTTTTCATTTATCATTTTATGGAGATCATCAGACCAGATAAGCTGAGCAAAATGTGTCCAAAACCACATTTGTTAGGATATAAACCTAACTATCAGTGTTTAGCAGTCTTACCACTCATGGGCTCTTTTTCAGATGATTATAAACTGCATATATCTAATCTATAATACATTAAAAAGATCTTCACATTTTACATTCCTCATGTTATGCTACTGACATTTTTTTCTAAAAATATATTTGTTACACGCATTAATCATTCACACATGTCATGTTTGTAAAAGTATAGCAACTAGTCTTCTGTGAGAAAATATTATTTTGGAAATCAAAAATAAAGTACTTTAATTGAACTGAGATTAAAATATAAAAAATTTGAAAACTTTCCTATCATATTATGTACATTTCTCATGTGTTGAAATTGGGAGAGAATTCCAGATTTTATTAGATAAACAAAACAATTAAAAAAATTACATATTAACCTTTTCAAAAATAAAGTATATTTGAGATTTTTAATATCAATTTATTCAATGTATTACATTTCTTAAAAAACAAACACCAGATAAAAATTCAATACATTTTAGAAAAAGTTAAAAAATTAAATTATAATTTGTTAGTATTTAGGAACCGTCTGCAGAAAAATATATAAGCTTGTGGCTTTGTTGGCTAAATCTGGGTACCTTAAAAAAAAAAAAAAAAAAAAAATCTTCTGCATAGGAAAACTTGAGAAAGCCTTTTCCATGTGCATTTTTTAATTGGTGATAAAAAAATAAATGCTCTCTGTAATTTTCAGGGCTACAAAATGAAGCAAAATATACAACTTAGCAAATAATTTTTGCGATACAACACCGTACACATTCTTTTGCGGGGGCAGGCTAGGAATTTTATTACACTCTATTACGAATAGCAATTTCTCACTATATGAAAATTTGCATCACAGACTAAGTCAAATAATTGGAAAGAAAATGCAGAAAATATTTTTATTATATACACAAGGCATTTTAAACATTATACCACCAAAGACATAAAAATAAATCAGATTAAAAGTTAGTTTATAGGAAAAATTTTAAAATTCACAATCAGAAAAAAATCTTTTTTCTGCTGCACTTTTTCCCATTACGTGATCTTGTATTTTGCTTAGCATGGATGAATCTAAAGTACCCATTGCCTATAAAAATGAAATAGTCTATAATTAGAACATAGTTTAAAATAAAAAAAAAGTCATTTATGGTACATCAAAAACATATCTTTCATTTCCTCCCCAAAGAAATATTTCATTTGGTTTAAAAACTTAAAATAAAATCAACTTAAATATCCGAATTATGCAATGAATGATTTTATTAATAATGTATTATACTTTTTTTAAATCATGCAACAGTTTACCCCAGCAATAAGAAATTTGAGCTTGTTATATTAGTTAGACGTTAGTGCCATGTCCATAAGTCACGCTACGCATCACATAAACTTGACATACAGCAGGCATTAAGTGCAAGTTGCCAAAAAAAGCTGAACGATGCACAAACACAAAATTACACAAAAACTAAATGCGCATGCGCGACCTAAAGAAAAAATATATAGATAAAAATAAATAAATAAACCTCTTAATATAAAAAGTATTAAACATATACATATAATTAAACAAAAATAATACTTGTACTTACTATTTTGCTATTAATTTTATCTTCCACTTGTAAAAAAAAAAAAAAAAAAAAAAAAAAAAAAAATCAGTAAATCACCAAGAGATTGTAATGAATTAACCGTCTTTAAGATGCTCTTTATGTAACTTAACAGCTGATACATGAATACTGTACACAACATTACAACACACTAATATACATATTTATGTTATATATTACTGCCCATTTCCACGCAATGACAAGTTTTAGAGATAATATATATATATATCTAACTGTTACAATAGCTTTCAATTATCTTGACTTTTAGTTCAATAAACAGTACTTTAATATAACACCAGAAAAAGTAATCATATGAGATAATATAGTTACAAAATAACATAACATATAGTTAAAGGAGGAATTTAAAAAATAACTATTTTGTCTGTCTCACTTGATCCTGATTAAAAATTTTTAGGGAAAAAAGTTTTTCTTTTTTGCTACTTTTGCAGCCAACTTTTCTAATTTCTGTTTGCGAGCTAGTTTTAATTTCTTTTCAGCAGCTTTTACACAATCCATTGATACTTTTTTATTTTTGGCAATGTTTAATTGCTTTTTTTTTTTTTTAAGATTCTCACTCCTCCTTTTTTATCTCTAGCTCTTCTTTGTACAGTTTATGAGCATTCCTTAAATTTTTACATAGAGTTTTGTGTACTGGAAAATGCAAGTGGTTATCTGTATGTCCGACAGATGGCGCCAGCACCGATCGCTGAAATTATTGAAGTGAACTCTCGTTTGACGGTTACTTGCTCTTCTTTGATTCGATATTCGTACGCATCTAGTTCCGCCTTTCCACATAAGCCACACCTACTTTGCCTTGATGTAAAACAACGTATTTCGCGATCTCTGGCATGATGCAAAATTTTTTTACAAAGAAAAGAGGGAGAGCGCGTGTGTCCTCCGATTACCCCCCTACATTTGGCGGTCGCGATTTCTCAACGGTTCTACATCGATCTCAGAAACAGCCCGGGTGACGTTCAAAAAAGCGGAATTCCGCGAAAACGCGGAAAACTTTCGTGCCTGATACAAGTGCAATCGCTGGGTGCCGCGTGAGCTGACTCAAGCAGATAAGGACAAACATGTTTCGAGCCTGCATTAATCTGCTCTATCAATGTAAGACCAAAATTCTGGACCGGATCCTCACTGCTGATGAAAAGTGGATTTACTTCACAAGCCGAAAAGGAAAAGGTGGGATTGCCATGGTATTATCCACAAAGAGTATTTGGCGAAAAGTAAAACCCTCGACAGTAAGGTGAATAGCGAGATGCTAGTCCTTGTTGATGTTGTTATCAAGGAAAAACATCAAACTGAGTTCTGGCGTAAAAAGGTAATGTTCCATCATGATAATGCAAGACCACACGTGTCTTTATTCACCAGCTAGAATCCGAACCTGAATGTGATTTTTTGCCACAGCCACCATATAGCCCTGATATCGCTCCTTCGAACTTCTACCTATTTTCACTCCTGCAGCTACTGGTGCTACCTTCCATTCCCCACAGGATGTCCAAAATAAGATTGGTCTGTTTTTGGACTCACAGCCACCAAGTTTCTGGGCTGAAGGCATTGAAAAACTACCAAAACGTTGGCATAAAATCAGATATGGGTTGTGATTACTACCTGAATTATAGGCACTGCTTTCATGTTTCCCCCCCTAACTTTATTAAGAAGGTTTTTTTGGTGCAAAACTGTTACAACCAGATATTTAAGAAACCTAATTCGATTTTAGACCAGATTTTGACTTGCTATGGTTCGATGATGACCAAGGAGTTGATAGCTGAATATTCACTGGTCATTTATCAAGATCTTATTGATTACAAAGAGAAATTTATTAATGCTTGTAAAACTGATAACTTATTGTTTATTGATATAAAGCTGCATCATGGAGGAAGGAAGAAATAATATAAAATAAATTAAAAAGAGAAAATAACAAAAATGATTTAATATATTTTAAAAATCAATATTTTTATGCAATAAGTGCAATTTAAAGAAATAAAATGCAAGAGAACAGAATCCCCCCTAAAAGGACAAGAAACAGGTTTAATATTTTTGAACAAGGTGATTTAAAAAGTAAATTAAGCAATTTTGTGCCATACAGTTATAAAAATTCATCAATACACCAAGAGGAGACATCACATAAATTAAAATCTAATGTTTGTGCAGTTAGAATGTATTATTTGTTTATATTTCTAAAATTAAAAATAATAATTGTGGAAAAAAAAACATAAATCTAATAAAGATTTTTTAAAACTATATTTTTAATCTAATCGTTATCTTTAAGTTACTTATGTGCAATTATTTGTATTATGATTATGTTATATAGTGTTTATTACAGAGAAAAATGTAAGGGATTAAGACAAAAACCATCCCTTTCAAAGGGGTCGATGCATGAGAAAGTTTGGGAATTCTTGTTGTTTTAGACAAACTAAAACAACAAGGATTCCCTGTCTAAAACAATCTCCTTGTTGCTTTAGACAAACAAAACCTATTTCCTACCCCATTTTTTCAGGATTAGGATTATTCAATTATGGCAAAGCACATGAGGGCTATCTGCCTAAGGGAAGGGATGCCTTCGTGGAGGACTTTGTAAGGGAAACTGACTCGTAAACACGTTACACATGGGAAAAAACACAAAAAAACCCATGCAACCAGCCCGTTCACGGGATTCGAATGTCGGACCGAACTACCAGTGCTCAGCGTCTTTAACTCCATTTTCAGAATTAATAAACAAAATAAAACCAACCTTAAATGTCAAGTTATTCCAGAAGAAATGTTATTCAGATATGGCACTTATAGAAAAGCACATTGGACATGTCATGCTTTACTTAACACAGTAAAGAAGGGAATTGTGTGCAGCAAATTATGACAAAAATGCAGTGAAAATAAATAGATAAAAAATAAATAGAAACATTTGGTAAATCATGATTTATTACGACGATACTAGTGTATAGTACTATTTGAATTTTGAATATTGTATACATTTTGAATACGCATAAGTGCCAATGATATTTGTGTAAATTTTGACGAGACAACCCTAGCTCTAACTAAATACCACTTTGTATACCTTGTCTTTTATATATATATATATATGTTGTTGCATTTTTCTTTTCTTTCTGACACCAGTTGTTACATTATTTTCTTCCTTCACATTCGTGTGGATCTGGAGAGAATAACGACGACACTTGATGAAGTATCGAAACATACTTTATTGGCCAGTAGGTTATCAGGCTATCCCGGTGGAGACAGCTTCACTGCAAAGCACCAGAATACAACTCCCGACTCTGCTCGGTCGTTCTCCGAACTCCACGTACTCTCGACACTCCCCACGCTACAATTCGCGATGCACTCAACGAACACAGAGCACAGCTCCCGACTCTTCAGTTCAGTCATTCTCGGAGCTCAACACGCTCTCTCGACGATGCACTAACCGCGATACACTAAGAGACTCTTCGATGCATTCGACGACCCACTCGGCACTTGCTGCCCGGCTGTTAACACGATCCACTCCGCAGGGATTGAGTCGCTGAACGAGACACCAACTCGATACTAACTATCTCGCACTCTATGCGAGGCACATACTCTTGCCCTCTCGACGAGGCACGCTCACTGATTGCAGACCAGCAGGGTTTATATAGCTTTCGGCTTGTATTCGAGAACATTCTGGGCTAAACCGGTAAAAATTCGTTCCAGAAGGTTCTCCAATCGTCCATGGCATATTGCCAAATGAGGCAACCATGCCTTCCCCTGCCATTTTATGGCAAAGCCATCTTACCGCGCCTGTACATTTTGTAACAATATATATATTGATGATGAGTTAAAAGCTAGAGTTGAAAAAATTCTTATGTAACTCTTAAAGAGTTGGCAGAAGTTAATTTATCATTATCAACTGTCCATCACTATCTGAAGAAAGTTGGAATCATGTCTAAGCTTTGTAGCTGGGTTCACATGAGTTTACTGATGCCAATTGACGACATGTTCTAAACATACGATTACAGCACAAAAAACATGGCAGTTAAATTTCACGCCAATGGGTATAGTTGGCATGCTGTGGCTACTGGATGTACCTAACAGCCTTTTACTGGGTTCCAATTTATGTATTTGTTATCGAATAATTACCGAATGAGTGAAGTCACACATAAGCTGCTTGTAGAAGAAGCAAAAGTAGAAAAAAGCAAAAATAAAGTTGGTAGAACTATGTCACCATGTGAAAGTTTACATAAAACTGGGGAAATATTCCATATGCTTAACCAAGTATACAAAGATGATAGCATAATACAGTTCTATGATTGGCTTCAGAGTTTTAAGGAGGACAGAAGATTGGCTGCCAAAGATCCAATGACTTTCCACATCAGACGACTAACATATTCAGAATATTCATAAATTTATACCATGTGGTTAGACGAAGAAGTCTGTCAGATAATTCTAATGCAACTGAGAGATGTGTGTAGGAAAAGACCTAAATTGTGTGTGTGGGGAGGACACAGTAAAGGATTTTGCATTATGACAATGCTCCAGGTCACACATTGCCAATCATGTAACAAAACAACAAACTTCTATTGTGCCCCACCCCACTATCCTATTCTCCAGGCTTGGTTTAGGCAAATTTATTCTCTTTTCCAGATTTTAAATCACTTTGAAAGGATATAATTTCAAGTTCATTCCAGGAAATTCAGAAAATGTGACGAGTACTGCACACCATCCTAAAAAGTGGTTTCCAGTAGCCATTCCGAAAATCGAATGATGGGAACAGTGTATTAACACTGCGAGAAAATATTCTGAAAGTGACATTGATTAAAAATTTCTAAAATTAGCAATAAAGGAAGAACAACAAAAGTTTAGTCTTTTTCTCTTTTGAAATAGCCCTTGTATACACAGCTCTTCATTTATGTAGAAAAAAAAAATCCTTTTTTGTACTATCTAATGGTTGGTATTTCAAAGATTGAAAATTTTCTTCTGTTGAGAAGAATACAATACCCATAAAGTACTTGAAATAGATCTTCAACATTTTTTCTCAGATAAGCCAGCTAATTTCTTTGCAAATGTAATAAACTTGCTATAGCACTGGGAGAAGGTTACTGATACAAATGCTAATTACATACTCGAATAAATTAGTATTTCTTATTTCTTCAAAAAAATTACCTTACTTTATGGGATGACTGGATACACTTGTGCCCAAAATTATCTTTATGTGCATAAAAATACCGATTTCTCATAAATTACCAAATACAGTCAAAAGTCTTTAATCCAGACTCGTCGGGACTTCGGCGATTCCGGATTATAAATCATCACTTTAAATCTGGTAAGATGGCATGCAGAAATTATAAAATTAAAAATATTAAACCGTAATTTATGAAATAAAGAGCAATTATAATCTAAAGGGTATCAAAATTTACCCCCCCCCCCAAAAAAAAAAAAAAAAAAAAAAAAGCTTATTATTTATTTGTTTACTTTATTAAACATTTCTTTCTACATGCGCATGGGTAAAGCATACATTACGCATAGTTGAAATTAGAAAATTGCAACCAGAAAACTATTTGATGTGTATTCGTGATATTTATAAAGACGAGGAATTTGATTTAAATCATATCAAAGACGAAGTACATCGAGATGAAATACTACATTTAGTAAGGAATTATAAGCCGAATAAAATAAAAACATCTGTCCTGAAGATAAGGATAGTGCTGACAGATCAACTTCCAGTTCATTGCACGCCGGGACGTTCACCGCCCCCCCGCAGAGCAGCGTGAAATTGATAAACAGATTTTGGAATGGTGAGAGAAACAAAGGATATGCCTTTATCCATTTTTTGCAGCAATTCCACTTTTTGTTTGATGGACATCGAAACGTGCTTTCACTTTGTAGATCCTTTGGTAGCTCCAGAATCGGAAATTCTTTTTGACATAATCGAAAGTTCAAACTTACTTTTATAAAATTGCTCTAACAGTTTGCAAAAAACAATAAGCCGGATCCAATTAGAAGATTAAGGAACAATGCAATCTGTAACATTAACTGAAATAGATAATTAGATAATTTTAGCTTACCTTATACCGTCCGTTATACATTAAGCATGCATGGGTAAACGTATTATGTGCATGCGCACACGCATATGTGCAATCATAAAAGTATTACGCACGTGCATAAACGCCTATGCGCATGCGTGAACGCATTGTGCGTTCATGCATGCGCAGAAAGTTTGTAGCTTTGAGGTCCGGATTAACGACTTTTGACTGTAAAATAAAATTAATGTATTTGGAATGGCATATAGCATCAAAACAGAAATACGAGCAGATAAATAGAATGCAGTTGCACATGACACAAACCTACATTGTATGGGGGAGGGGAAAAGAAATGCACAAATATCAAGATTTAAGATGGAAAAAATATAATATCTCAAAGTAAATGCAGATCTGACGTTAATAGGAAATGTGATCTTTCCTAATACATTACATATCAATGCAATTTCATACTCTCAAGGAGGTTAATAATCTGAGCTTGAAGGAATAAGTTCTATTTTTATTTTTTTAGCAAAATGGTCTTCAAGACAGGTCTCCAAGAGGATATCTTCTTCCACTCTGTCCATCAAAGTCATTCAATCTTCTACTCTCTCATAAAAGACTATTCCTTTAAGCTGTTTGTAGGATTCAAATCAAGAGATTTTGCATCCACAGCAGTAGCTATTTGGAGAATACTGCATAACGAATATATATATATATATATTGTAAGAGTTGCAGACAGAAATGTGGCTCAGAATTACACAGGAATGATTTGAGGGATCTCCACCAATTTTCGTGGTCGATAGGATAATATGTAAATACTAAATTTTTTTCAAGTATAGAGAGAGGAGAGTTAACAGAAAAAATACATTGAATTATCTTATTGTTTAAGAAGTAAATCATTATGATAAATATTTCAGTAATGTTTACTATATGTGAAAATTACAAAATTTGTGAAATTATAAGTTAATAAGCAAAGAACAAAAATGTGTACTTCTTTGACTTTCTGATGCTGAGCTCTGATAGTTCCCAGGAGGCTTCTTATTTCTTTATCATTTTGTGACAGTTCTTCCTCGAATGCTTCTTTCTGAGCTAGCATTTTACTCAAATAACATTGCATTGCTTCTTTGTGTTTCTTTTTCTCATAACAAATATGGTCCCTCAAATCTTCTTCTAGATTTCCTGATGGTCTCCTGCAAATTAATTTATTGATTAGCACTTGTAACAAGTCTCAGTAAAAATTTTCACACAGAACAAAATTTAGGATATGAGCCTAATAATAATAATATATGTATGGTGTTTTGAATTATGTGTTATTTATTTTAGTATTTATACATTACAGCAGCCGGCATGAAAGAAAATTGACATTTTTGGAAGTACATCGCAACTACAAAATAAAGAAATTGACATCTTTGTATAATTGATTACCGTGTGTGCAATACACTCAAAACAAACCATACACACTTTAAATGGACAACTTGTTCTTTCAATAAAGACATTTTACATACTGTAGACAGCTTGAAAAAACAGAACTTACGCATCAAAGAACTTCTAGGAGAAGTAAAGGTTTCTTGAAGCAAATGTGGATCCATCAGACGAATGAGACACATTTTGTATATCCCTGAAACTTATTTTACAGAGGCAATCCATTCTTCCTTAGCACCCTGTCAAAGCGGCATGCCAGCAAAGAAATTCTGTCGGCAGTCATATTGACAATCTTTTACTGTGTTGTCAATGGACTCGGAAGAATTCAATAAATTTAATGATGAATCCCAAGATAATAATCACTAGAATTCATTTGATTATCTTTCTGCAAAGTACGCTTTATTTTTTAAATGAGTGCATTTTAGACTTTAAAACTGTAGTATACATTTAGTACAATTTTAAAACTGCAATATATATTTAGTATAAATTTTAAAATTGATGGAATACTGTACAGTATATTATTTTGGATCCTCAAGGTCCAAACATATTTTGTCTCTCATCATATAATACACATAATAATCATATAATACATAATATTTTCATTTTTAAATCACTTGAAAGTTCTGAGCTTTGGAGTAAACTAACAATGATTTATGACATATTACAACATAACTGAATTAAAAACTCGCCATCTGAGTTAACACAATTTTGCTGCTTATAATAACAATGCAGCTATTTTTAATATATGGCATATATGATTTTGTAAATAGTGTTATGCTTTATTCTGCTTTGAAGTTATAGCGTTATAGATTACTAAATATTTTATCTGAAAATCTTTAAAGTTGTTTAATATTAGTGGCCACTGAAAGATACTTCAGCATTACTTTAAATTTAGCATATTGATATTTATATATCATTTTTCATATTTTATCATTATTTGTTGTAATTTTAAAATAAGTGCACTTGTGTTTGGACTGTGAAATAAAAATTGTTGTGAATAATCAGGGGTACATTATTTAAGCATGTAAAGACAGGCTTTATGATCCTTTGCATTTCTTCTTTTTTTTTTTTTTTTTTTCAAGCAATGGTACTTTGCACATTTTTAATCATCTTGTTAACATCACCATCCAAACAAATGCCAAAATATTTAACCAAATAGTTTATCTGTTAACTGCAGTTTAACATGGAAAATTTGCAAAACTGGTTTTGTGATTTTTTTCTTTTGATTTTATAGTTTTATGGCTAGAACTAAAACTTTCATGAAGCTGTGTGTCTGATGTAAAAGTAACTGCTTAACAATGAATAGTAGTATTAGATTTATACCAAGCCTGAGAATGGATTTATGCAATTTGAAAAAATAAAATGATTATCTTTTTGTTTCATAGAACAAAATAAAATTAAATAATAAGAAATCCTTTTTCTTTGAAACTGTGTTCCTAATGTAAAAGTAATTTATTAACAAGGTTAAATTTCTAATAACACTGAAAATGGATTCTTTGAATTTAAGAAAATAAAACTCTTTTTTGTTTCTACAGACAATTAGTATATTTCAGAAATGTAATAAATCAGTACTTTTCCGTTTTGCGGGTGCAAATGATAAAGTCGCCAATAATGGTACAACTAATGCCAAATGGAATATTTTCGCTGGCAACCTTTTACACCTCATTTTCAAAATAAGTCGCAGCCATATCTTACCATATTGATTGTACCATTCGCAGTAGGATATGCAAACAGTTTATAATTAATCACATTAAATCATTTTTAGAATATAAAAATATTTTTTGCTTCATTTGTTCTTTACATATTTTTGTAAAGTTTTGGTTCTATCGCAAGATCAGTTTAGTATTTTTACCACATGGTTTGGTTTCAATGTAAATTATTTCAGTTTCATTTACATAAAATTCATGAACAACATGGCTTATTTCTATGAGTGTTACAGAAAGTCTTTAAAACTGGATTCAGAAATGTATGTGTGTACATATATGTGCATTTCTGAATCCGGCCCAATAACAGAAAAGTACCTTTTCGTTTTTAGCTTCTAGCTATTTTCTTCCAAATTTTGGCCAAAGGCTTACTTTTAAGTAGCTTTATTACAAGTTACTTTCCTTATTGTTATGATGCACTTTTAATGAAATTTTTTAATTTTTAGGAATCATAGGATTGGTCGGATTTTTTCCAATTTCTGACCCCCCGAAAAAGCATTTTTTTAATTGCTAAAAATTAATACATGTTCTATCCTAAATTTGAAAATGCAAAATATTTATGACAGTAAGCAGTTTCTGCTGGACCTACGGGTGGTCAAATATGTCATATCCCGTCCACTGATCACCAGTTTTCACTGCAATGCACCCAAAGTTTTAAATAAAAAAATTACAATGCCATACTATATTTATTAACTCTATTGTTTTTATGTGTTTAATATAAATATCTACATAAGAATGATTATTAAAATCGCGTAAAAATGCTTTAAAAAAATGGTTTTCCAACCTTACCATTAAAACAGCTTTATAATCTGCCTTGGACATCACAGCATAAAAAACACATTTATTACACATTATTTTTTTTCTTACTTCATCAAAAAATGCCTATGAATATAAAAAATATCTTAATTTTTTTTTAAGTTGAAATTCTAATAGATATCGCACTGTGTGTGAAAAATTTCAAAACATGGAATAGTGCAAAGTCCCACACCACACTTCTCACAATAGTACCTTGTTTCTTTTCTTATCCTTTTACCTTTACTGTCTGGTTTGCTGCAACAGATGGCACATTTTCTTGCTGTTTTTCTTTTTTTTTTTTTCCCAGTTAATGGAATAAATTTTATGAAATGTCTTTCAGTCAGTCGGAGTGGTGTTTCGAATGATAGTCTACATCGTTTGCTGCCCATTGATTCCGAGTGGTGAAAAAAACTAGGTGTAGCTCTGCCATCTCTTAGCAATATTTAGAAATACAAAGATAATCATGGAATTTAAAGCAATGTGTGAGGAGCAATGAATTGTTTCAATGATGGAATTTTTCAATTCATCACATGACATGTGACACCGACTTTACGGGCACAAAACGCTGAATATGTGAGATGCGATGCGGACCTAGAAGGGGTCAATATGTTTTTAATATTTTCAAAAAATTTCCCTTCTTTGAAGTAGTTAATTTATTGATTAATGTAATTTATACATATATACCATATATATAGCTATTACCTGTGAGTTTTATGTAGTAGTATATGGCATTTTACTATGGCTAACATAAAAGTGAATGAAAGCAATTCATAAAATTACTACTCACCATGACGGACCATTAACATTATTTGCTTGCTTTTGAATCATGTTTTCAAGGTCAATTAACAGATCACGGATATTGGTGTTCTCAAATAACAGACTGAGATCATCTTGAACTCCAGATTTAAATTCACTTATAAACTTATTATATATGTAATGCAGCTCTTCTGGACACTTCCGATGAATTTCTGGATACGATTCTTGAAATAATGAGAATCTGTAAGAATACATAATAAATATAAAGTAAATTTTTACCCTTTTATTCTTGCTGATGGAATTATAGTAACATACACATATCACAGTCTTGCTGATAACATTCTAAAAAACAACAAAACTGGTTCTATTGAGCTGTTTTTTTTAATATTTTCAGTAATTCAGTGAAGTTGGTAAGAAATTAAAAATCTTCAACTGATGAAGAAAATTATTTCTGAATCCATCAGTTTTTTAGCTGTCTCATCGCTAAGAACATTGTTTAGATTGAACTGGAAGGGATAGACTGATAAGGCACCTGCAAGAAGAGGGGGAAGGACACATGTAAATAATACAGTTTAACTTCAGATATGAATCTGTGCCCTGGAGTTTGAATTAGACTTCAACATCCACTAACCATAAAAAAAAAATGCAATGCCATACTATAGAAGGGATAGACTGATAAGACACTTGCAAGAAGAGAGGGAAGGACACACGTAAACAATACAGTCTAACTTCAGATATGAATTTGTGCCCTGGAGTTTGAATTAGCCTTCAACATCCACTAACAACTATATCATCCAGAGTACCTACTCGGTGGTAAACTTCAGGAGGGCACTCTCTAGTCCTTTGCTAAATTTATCTTTGAAATATGCAAGATCTTTGTTGTTTTCTTTATTCCAAAAGCATATGTCTTCAGTGTTGAAAAACAATGTTTGTTTTTTAATAAATTTATTATTGGGCATCAGGTTATTTAACAATGAAATGAGGAGATGAAGGTCCCTTTGCTAAGTTTCTTATTAGAAGATGTCAATAAAAGTCCAATAAGGAAATTTAACCCTGAACTTTATTTAAAACCCCCTTTCAGAAAATTATCCTCTGCCTTAGAACCTTCTAGAAGATCAGCTGACACAAAAGAAGAAAATGTGAGGCAATTCCTGGCATAAATGGTGCTTATGTATGATCCCATTGGCTGCAAAACTACATCAAGCAGTGCGATTTAATGCAAATTTCAGATAAGCATGACATAACACTTTCACAACATCTGTGGTTTCTTTTAACGTAGATCCAATTGATTATCAATATGCTGAATTTTGTTTTTATGAAGAAGGCTCAGCGGTAAACTTCAGGAGAATTAACTATTGTTGGAATATTTTTCTTGCCTTTTGGAAAAACAAAAGGTTTAAAATTTGGGATCTGCATTCTATAGAACAGAAAGCAGTGTATTTTCAAAGTTATGGGACTCCACTATCATAAAAAGTATATATTCATGGATATGATCCAGTCAGCTGAATATGACCCACCAAACAATAATAGATTGGATCAATTACCTGCAGGAAGTCTGCACCTGTAGTGTTCTAAATGGAGCTTCTGATAAAGTTGAAGGGCCTCACACAACAGTAGAAATTAACGAAAGCCTTTTCATGACGTGGGTTTGTTAAAGAAAGGCAGCATCAGTTCCTTTAAAATTCCATAAATATGATTGCTGCAATTTTAGAGGTCGTTTTTTCATTGGGATAATAAATAAGTACTATTATTTTTTATCCCAATGATTATTTTATTAAGATTTTATTTTAAAATGTTTTCTTGTTCATGCACAGATTTATATTTTTTGTTTTGGTAAAAATCTACATAAACTGATATCTTTTTTTTATCAGACAAAATGTCAGGCCTTTTGTTAAATTTTAATAGTTCACCACTGTACTTATTGTATGATAAATACACAAAATCTAAAATACTGCACATAATCAATTTACTTCCCTCAAATCATGTATGTTTTCCTATAGAACTCTCACTATAACACTCATTTCCTTTTTTATGCACACACATTTATACTTTGATGCAATTAGTACTTCATTCATTCAATACATACTATGACGACTACCTAGATATCTTGCCAAAACTGGCAACCTTTGTAAGTTATACAGGTTAACCCTAACATAGGTTATAGAGGGCACTAAAATAAAGAGCATTATCCCACACATGGTGTTACCACACCTTTTTTTGCTACATTTATATGGATTATTATGTTTAGGTTAAACACATGAAACTTTTTGTGATTATTTTTTTCCCAATACATATCAGCATTTTCCAACTTCTTCAAATGAAGAAAGAGCGATATATTATTTCAGAGAGGTTTTTTACCCAAAGAACACATTTGTATAAACAGCCACAATATGAAGTTTTATAATTCAGGATTTTATTGAAGATGCAATGTCAAAAATTGTCAACAAAAGTTTGGCGTCCGAACTGGTAAGTGACAAGTCCCATCTTTCTACAATTTGGAGTCTGTAAGGTTTCCCTTATTTTAAGTTTGATACCTTTCCTGAACCTCTCTTTTCCCCTCGCATTTTCATTGCCAGGATGTAAATTTGGTATTTACGTACTATGACGACTACCTAGATATCTCGCCACAACTGGCGACACTTCTAGGTTATACAGATTAACCCTAACAGGTTACAGAGGGATTCGAACCCAAGCCCTTCAGCACGGCGGTCAGCAATGCTAACCGCTATACCGGTTGGGTGGCTATAAATAAAACTAAAATGTACTATTAGTGCAAAACAAATAAAAAATTTCAACACAATAAAAATAGCTGGCATTTTAAAAATACAGAGCAACTGTAAAGAAAGATTCACAATATTTACACAAGATTTGTTATGCTTGTATATGACTAACTGCCAAGCGAGATTATATATTTTTAAAATACGGCCAAATTTTAAGTGAAAACAGATAATATAAAATTTTACCATTATTTTCCTTCAGTATTAATTCTTTCGTAAAATGGAGGAACAAGCGACAATGTAGGACAAGCCTCCATCATTTGGATACTTATATAGCCGAATTTATTTGGTGGAAAAAACAGGAAACACCTTTCGATGCTATTTTGAACACTTTCCTCACCATTAACTTCAATGTTTTCTTTTAACCAGTTTTAAGTAAGTTAATTTAAATTCTTTAAATTCATATTTAGTATATAGTTTATATATATATATTTGGGATTTTTGGTTTTTAAGTTTTTGTTCCTTTTTATTATTAGGGCTTTTATTTTTAAAAGAATTTATAAACATAAACCAAAAAACGCCAATTAAGATTTTTATCGGCAAATGTTGCTAAGGTAGTCATCATAGTATGTAAGTACCCAAAAGGTAATAAAAACTTTATTTATGTAATCATTTGTTTCTAATAATTTTTTCCTTTAAAATTTTTTCAGGACACTTAATGAAAAGCGAAGATACTTATATATTATCTCATCAACTGTAAAACTTGGCTACCATCCAACCAGAAAAGTGACCAGAGATCTCACTAAAGCTGCACCACTTTTTTCCTGTGGAATTTTGAAGAAAACTGATACTACATCTTTATTTAATGAATAATCAGCATTTGAACAGGGTTCATACATATTTCTGCACATGGAAATTAAGTACTTTTAAGGACCATTAATAAAAAAAATTATGGACCTATGAGCAAACGCGAACTGAATAAGTTCAATTGAAGATATTATCTATGCCTGAATTTCACTTTTGTAATACCATCCTAAAAATAAAATAGATCCCTAAGTAGTACGCATTATTACTAAACATGAATTAATTAACATAATTGTTAATAAGTTTGATAATAAATAACTAGCAATTTAATAAGTAGAATAAATATTTTACACTTATGATAGTTAGCATATTTGAACGTTTATATCGATTTCCTTCTCTTTAAGCATCTTCTCTAACATTAGAGATTTGTCTCAATATGCAAACCAATGCTCTCACTAGTTTCTGCGTGCTTCATCTCCTAACTTGTCAACATCTTCATAATGTACCTATGAGGATTTAATTGATGTGGTAAATTTTAAATATTCCAACCCCCCGACAGACGTGAAGCATATTATCGCTATGTCTGAAATTAACTACAATATCAGACAAAGGTTTAAATAACCCTCTTATTTAAAAACTTAGAACATAAAGGCATGTTCTGATGCTAACAAAATCAATTACAGCTCACAGTGACGTAATTAAGAAGAACAGTCAGATTCAAACTAATAATGTGGACTAGTGGTCAAAGATTTATACAATTTAATTGTAATTTAATCTGGCTCAATAACTCTATCATATGAGGAAATAGAAATGGGAAATTATAGTAAAGGTTGAAATCATAAACAATTGGATAATTTACATAATAATAACTGCACATATCTTTGAAGAATAATTTCCTTTATGTACTCAGTTTCTTTCTTCAACATGTTTCCTTTTCATTTTAGAATTTTTGGGTTTAATTAAGGATTTCTGTTATTCTAAAAAACACTAAATGCATTTGGAATGTACAGAAAAAGTGGCTAATTTTATTTCTTTAGTAATATGAACATTCAGGAGCAATATGAAATATATATAGTAAAGCACGGTTACAGAGCTGATGTGGCAGAATTTCTAGAATTTAGTGACACACCGCACAACAAAATCTAGAAACGGCAAAACTTTTAGAATTTAGCAGAATTTTTTTGGAAGCAGAATTTAGGATCCACAGAGATTGCATCAGGTGGGAAAATGCCTATGTGTATGATGCATTAAGAAATATTAGATGAATCTTTTAAATTGTAAGTTTTCAATTTCTTTATTAATAAAAAAAATCCCTTTCTATAATGCCTTCCCATGTGATAAGATCAGAAGCATTTTTGATATTTTCCATGCTTCTGTCTAGTGAAAAGTAGAGAAAATAAAGAGAAGATAAACATGTTAAGATTCTAGTATCAGAAGTAATACATTCAAATATTATGTTTTCATTGTTCTTCCAGATGTTCTCCCAAAATTAAGAAATTCATTGCAAACTTTCTGTAACATACATCCACTAAGTGTTGATATAATGGAGGCATTTTTCATTTTGTCACATATTTCTCGAATCTTCTAGAATCGTGGGTCTATAAATCTTGCCTTCAAATCCTTCTAAACTTTTCAAACTGCAATGTCTAATTAATAATAAAATAATAAATCCTAAAGAAAATTTATCTCTACCATTTCTGTAACGGAAAAAAGCCAGAAA